CATCTATCATATTTGGAAAGAAAAAAATTCATAGAAACATGACTGAATAATAATTTATCAAAAATTAATTTGTGAATGAAATATTTATAAAAAGTAAAAATAAGTTTTAAAATAATGCTTTGAGAGAAAATAAAATAAAAAGTTAAAACTGCATAAAGATTTAAAAGTATATCCACTTTTAAATTTAAAATATTCAAATAGTAAAGATATATCAAATAGTAAAGATATATATTCAAAGGTTATTCAATATATTTTTAATATTTTGGATATATTTGATTATCACCTTCACTTCACAATATGGAAGAATCTGAACCAAAACACACAAAACAGAAACCGATTTCAACGTTAGGCAGATTGATTGATTTGGTTTTAGAAAATCAAACCGAATCGTTTTTGCAAGAGAGGGTAAAATAGTCCATAAACCAAACTACTTAAAACCCTAGAAAAAAGAGTGAATAAAAAGGTTGCGCCACACACTTCTCTTCCAAACTCATAACAACATCAAAATCTCTTCGCTTTTTTTCATCGTTCTTGTTTTGCTTTTTCATCTTTGAGGAATAATACAAATCTGCCTCCATGAGTAGCTTTATGAACCCTAGTTCTTAGGCAATTTCATATTTTGGCTTAGTTAGGAGGCAAATATCAAATCTGATCAATCAAAATACTTTATTAGTGTTTTCGTTTTTGAGAAGAAACTTTGATTTTTCTTCTTCAAATTAAGTTTCTTCTCGAAAATCTTCAGACATAATTACAAACTTAAGGGTTTTTGTGTATTGGTATGAATATGTTTTATATGTTTATAGCTTCCGAATAACGAGAAGGTGAAATATATGAACACTTTCTGGTTCAGACAGAGGCTTACATCAAGAAAAAAAAAACTCGAATCAGATTATTGAAGGTGAAAAAAAACTCTTTTTTTGCCATATCAAAATCTTCTTCCTCTTATTGGATAGATTCGAATATCTGTTGAAATTGGAATTTTGCAAGTTTTGTTTTTGGTGAGAAAGAAAGGTTTTTTTTGGGTTTTAATTTTTCAGAGTTACTTGATGTTAAGAGGAATGAATAAGCTCTGTAAATGGAGACACACTTAGGCCTAAACAGAGAGCTTATCAAGGAATTAGCCAAAAAACATGGATTCAAGTGGACTAATGTACATGCATGACTTCATGATAACTAGTGAATTACAATCAAAATAAATGGAAGCAAAACATTACAGTTGTATCAAAAGAACCAAGAAAACAAAAATATTAAAGTGAATTGTCTGTCAAAAGGCATTACATAATTGAGTTTTTCACCTTCAACCGCTCTATAAAACTAAAGCTTGGGGCATGCCTTAGCTTCTCTTGTATGCAAAACTTGATCTCTTCTTCGGGAAGAAGAAGCTTCTTCTTAATACACAGCTTCAACTATTGGGGCAATAAACAAGAGAAAAACAATGTTAAGTTACAATCATTTCTAAGTTTCAACTATATGATTGTTCGTAAAGAGATAGCGAGTAAAAGATGATTTGCTTACAATCGCCATCGGATGCCGCCTCGTTATAATCGTCATCATCATCGTCAAAGTCTTGATTCTACAAAACATACACAAGAACAAAACAAATTATTAAGTAGAAACTTCACAAGCGGAAATTCACATTTTACATTTCACTTAATTTGGTATAAATAAACAGAACCTGATCATAATCTCCGTTATCAGAATCTTCAGCATCCGATTGCTCAA